AAAAAAAAAAAAAAAAAAAAAAACAAACTAACTAAATCAGTAATATTGTAATTTAAAAAAATTAAATCAAGTTTTATAATATGAACTTACCTTGACATCATGAAAAATGAACTCAAGACATGTTATCATTTTCTTATCAGCCAAAGCAGTTCCCAAAGCTATAAAACAACTAATATAGCACCCAAAATAGCTCGGCGAACTGGCCAAAGTGGTTAGCTCGGTTCGGGTCGGTTCGAGGGATTTCAACTCATTTCTAGTATATATACTAGTGAAAGAACCCATTTAGGCGGCTCAAAGTACATGTCAAATAGCTCTAAGGTCGTAGAACTTGAAGAGCTCGGACGTTGGAAGGGACGCGAGGTCGTAGGGGCAGAGTGATGAAGATCGTGTGTCTCGATAGCATGGGTTGCCTCAAAGTAGTGCAACGGATCCTTCCTCGGCAATTGACATGAAAGACTTGGAGGTTTCCTTGTCTTGACGTCGATTTGAGACAGCTCGGAAGTTAATCCCTGCGAAACTCGGACATATGTCGAACGATGCGGTGAAACGCCCTTTTCGGCACAAGGGTTTTGTGCTAAAAATCGTAAAGAAATCTAACAAAAGAAGTTGAACAAAAGTTTTGCTTTTATTGATAAAATTCATAATGAAAACATTGGGAAACATCAAGTATTTAAAGGAAAAATCTTAGTCTAATCCTAGCTCGAAATAAGCTTCTAATTCCTAAGGAAAGTAAATAACTAGAATCCTAAAATAGCCAAACTTATGCACTCCTAAACAATCTAAGGATAATAATAAAGCATGTGGAAAAATAAGCCTTGGAACTTCTAGAAGAAATCCCAATTGTATCGTCAAGTAACCCTAGCCGCCTTGCTCAGTCTGCGTACTCGCGTCCCTTGTGCGCGCGACATTCTCCCGCGGCTCCAGGCGACTATCTTCATGTGCATCTTCGCACTCGCCCGCGTGCCCGCAAGCCCCTACCTCGTTTGTTGCCCGACTGTGCGCGTTATTTTCGGCCACATTGTCCTGCGTGCCACTACATATTCCCACCGCGTTAACCTCAGCAGCCCGACGAGCCATTCTCTTGCATGCATGATATGTTCGGCTCGATGTGTTCTTCAGTCTCCTAGCCACATCTTCATCATTCTCGTTCCCTTCAAGTGTTTCCTTGTCCTCAAGGATGAAAGACGGAAATCGCTCGCGCATTCTGCCTAAGTTATCCCACGTTGCTTCTTCCTCCGGCAGGTCTTCACATTCGACTTACACTTCCCAAAAGAAACATCTGGCCTTTTTCACTTCACGATAGCTTAGTGCTCGGCTAGGCTAACAATGATTTGTCCATCCAATGTCGTGGTGGGTAGTCGATCACTCAGCTTGTGCGCCTCTCTCAAACTTCTCTTTAGGTGAGAAACGTGGATCACCGGGTTGATTTGTGATTCTTCTGGCAGCTCGAGTCGATAAGCCACCTTGCCGACCTGTTTACGCACTTGATAAGGCACATAGTATCGGACCTCGAGTTTGGACCGGTCCTTTGTGCGACCGCGGATTGCCGAAAGAGTCACAGCTTCAAATAAACCCAATCTCCCGGCTCAAAATTTTCTTCGCGTCGTCCCTTGTCGTGGACTGATTTCATGTGATTAATGGACCCATCCAGGGTTTTCTTCAACTCTCGAATAATCATGTCTTGCTCTATGAGCTCGCATTCGACCTCGTTGTTCACTGATTTCCCCATCGAATAGCTCACAAGCATGGGCGGCTTATGCCCATACACCAATTCGAATGGCGTGGACTTGGTCGAGCTATGATATGGCGTGTTGTACCAATATTGGTCCCAAGGCAAAACATCCTCCCACTTCTTCGGAAATTGATGAACATAGCACCAAGATATTTTCTAGCTTTCGATGGTCTCCTCAGTATAGCCGTCGGTTTACGGGTGATAGGCCGAGCTCATGGCTAGTTCCGTCCCTTCCATCTTAAAAACTTCCGACCAAAAGTTACTTAAGAATATTTGATCTTGATCGGACACAATTGACCATCGCAACCCGTGTAGCTTCATCACGTACTCTACGAACAACCTCACAATTGACTTCGTCTTATAAGGATGGGTGAGCGGTACAAAATGCGCGTACTTTGTCAATCGGTCAACCACGACCATTACTCCATTAAACCCACATTCGGCAGCCCTTCTATGAAATCCATCGTGATGTCTTCCCAAATTCGTTCGAGCATGGGAAAAGGTTGTAGCTGTTAGAGGTATGTTGTAAAAGCTATGTTTTGCAGATTCTATCAATTCCATTTTGATCTGGCCATCATGTTTCGGTCAAAGTACATATGTTTGCAGTTTATTTATTTATGCAATACATACTCCATGTCTTATATTGAGGTAGTGTGGTTCGAATTGTTTCGAACAGAAAGATCACCTATCGGTTCCTTATGAGACTAAATCATTCGTTCACAGTCTAGACTGGCAGTGAGACCCCACTTGGAAAAAGACTGTAGTGTATTCTTGATTCAGTTGGTCTTTGACTGGAGAATTACACTAGCACTTATGTTAAGTGTTGAACAGGACCACGGAAGGCAAAGGTTATGAGACTCACTGACCGTTGTTGTAACCTCGTCCTTTAGTGATTGATGCGTTCTCTTAAGCTGTAAGATAATATAAAATAGGCATATTTTTTTATTTCTTACTTATTTGATTTACCAAGTGATTTCTATTTTATTAAGATGACATACGAGGTATTTTGTTAAGTAAAAATAATTATATGGTGTGATATTATAAATTATTTATGGTCACTATGTTCCAGTGCGCTGGATTGATGACGTCCCCGAAATGAGCTCAGGAATGTACGTTATGTTAAACACTGCAGGTAGACGATTGTCTGACATAATTGTTAAGGATCTGAGTGGTACTAATTTCGGAAATGAATAAGAAGTTGATTAATTACTTTGTCAGTAATTTAATTAATCAACGGACGTTATATCTTAAACATAGGGAGGTAAATCGATCAATCGGATTAATATTATTTAATCATGGAGGCTCAATTTTATTGGTAAAATAGTGGCTAAATGGGGAGAGCAATAATATTACTCTAGTGGGATGTTTTATTATTTAATTCCATTAAATAGGAATTAATTTTATTCAATATTAATTAATTAATTAGGAGAATAAAATTCCTACTAGAATCTTCTCTTGGGATTAGGAGACCTGGCAGTCTTCTAGAAGATGGAGATTAGTAGGAAATATATTTCCTACATTGTATTATTAATTGGAGTAAAATTAGGTTTCCTAAATTAGGAATTAATTCTATCCCATGATTATTAATTTAATTAGGAATGATATTCCTACAAGGATCCTCTCTAGTGTTAGGAGACTAAGGAGTCTTCTAGAAGAGATGGATTATTAGGAGATATCCTTCCTACATTGAGTTAGTATTGGATTAGAATTAGGATTCCTGGGCCTAATGGAATAAGCCCATATTTAGCACCTCCTTAAGGTCCGTAATGGAGCCTATAAATACACCATGTCCCAACCTCTCCTACATAGATG